GCGGTAGGGAGGGAAGGGAAGGGACGGGGTCCTTAGCAGATCCGGGCAGTAGGGAGCGGGATCTGGGGCGAAGGAGCGAATGCCCCGGATGCAAAGCTGACCCTTGTACCTGTGTCCATCCCCCGCGGGGGGCACTGTCCCTGCGCTTGGCTCTGTCCTGGGGCAGATTGTTGGCACGGCTCCTTCTCTCCATTAGGTGGCCCAGCGGAGAAGGCCGGCCTGCAGCAGCTGGACACTGTGGTGCAGCTGAACCAGCAGCCCGTGGAGCACTGGAAATGCGTGGAGTTGGCACATGAAATCCGGTGACTGTTCACACTCCAGTCCCCGTCGGGCTGGGCGGGGGCAGCCCCGTGGGATACAGAGAACGGGGCCCCGGAGCGATCCTGAGCCCCGAGAGCTGGCCAGCTGAAGTGTGCGCTGAGCTGGCGGGCAGGTTTCCCTGCACAGCCGCCTCAGGGGTGGGGCGATCCCGGGAAAACCTGGACAGGCAGCAGCCCCAGACTGGACTGAGGCGGGAGCCTTGGCATGGGGCCCACGTGCTGCAGAGGGGAGTGGCAGGTGGAGGGCGGGCCCAGCTGAGGGTTGCAGATTTGTGGGGCTGCCTGGGGAGGAGGGGGTACCAGTGTATCTGTGTGGGGAGAGTGGGGCTCGGGGGGAGCTGGAGGGGAGGGGAGGAGATAGAGCCTCAGAGGGGCACAGGGGTTTGGGGAGGGAGGGTCTCAGAGGAGGTGCAGGGGGCTGGGAAGGGGAGTTGGGGAGGGGGAGGAGAAGTCTCTGATTAGGGGTGTGAGGGAGGGGAGGCAAGAGTCTCTCGAGTGGAGCGGGAGGCTGGAAGGGAGAGGGTCTTAGGGGTGCAGGGAGCTGGGAGGGGGAGTGAAGGGAGAGGGACTCGGGGTGGGAGGTTGGGAAGGGAAGGGAGAGGGACTCTCTGGTGGTGGGGGAAGGGAAGGGAGAGGGAATCGGGGTGGGGAGGGAAGTGAAGGGAAAGGGACTCTCGGGGTGGGGGGAAGGGAAGGGAGAGGGAGTCTGGAGAGGGAGGGAAGTGAAGGGAGAGGGACTGGGGCGGAAGGTTGGGAAGGGAAGGGAGAGGGACTCTCCTGGTGGGGGGAAGTGAAGGGAGAGGGACTCGGGGCGGGAGGATGGGAAGGGAAGGGAGAGGGACTCTGGTGGTGGGGGAAGGGAAGGGAAGGGAGAGGGAATCGGGGGGGAGGGAAGTGAAGGGAGAGGGACTCTCGGGGTGGGGGGAAGTGAAGGGAGAGGGACTCGGGGCGGGAGGATGGGACGGGAAGGGAGAGGGACTCTCTGGTGGTGTGGGATATCTGTGTGGCTGCTGAAGTTGTGTGGGTTGGGGCACTCTGTGCCTAGTGTCGCCTGCCGAGCGTGTTGTTTGCTGTGCTGGAGCTGGGCTTGCCCGTGGGGCTGGCTGGCTTCTCCCGGCTGCATTCCTCTGACCCTCCCCCACGGTGTCTCTTTCAGGAACTGTCCCAGTGAGATCATCCTGCTGGTGTGGAGGATCGTGCCGCAGATCAAGCCGGGCCTTGAAGGCATGATACGGAGGTCGTCCTGCAAATCTACCTACGACCTCCAGTCGCCTCCAAACAAGCGGGAGAAAAACAGCTCGGTGCCCTCGCGCCCCGAGCAGCGCCAGAGCTGCCACATCGTGTACGACGGCAGCGACAGGCTGGTGCTGAACAACTGGGCGCGATACACGGAGGTTGGGAAGCGGAGCCAGCACACGATGCCACCATTGTCCCGGGCATCCTCCGACGGGGACAAGAACTACATCCTCTTAGCACCTCTGAATCCTGGGAGTCAGGTACGGCCCCCTCCAGCACTAGCGACGTCTGCCCCTGGGCACTGGGTGTGCCCCTGATGGGGCCACGCCTGGACCAGCTCGCCAGCCAGCCCTACCTCCAGGGACACCTGTCCTAAGCCACCTCGCACCTGAAGCAGGATCAGCCAAAGGCAAGGCCCCAGGCCTTGATCCCTAGAGCACCAGTGCTGCCTCGTCTGTGACACGCTCTGGCTTTCTGGAGCTGCTGGGCCCAGGGCTGCACTGGAGGTCTTCAGGAGTAGCCACCCTGAGCTCACATGAGTCAGCCCGGAGGGTCCCCTACGTAGATCCTTTCGGGAGAGTGGGGTGCAGATTGAGGAGCTGCCAGAAATGAGGTGTTTAAAGCTCTGTGGTCCTCCAAGGGGCGGCACTGAGCTCTGGGCGCTCATGGGCTTTGACACCTCACAGCTCCAGCTAGCCTGTGATCCTGCCTCCAGCCTCAGCCTCTCTGATGCGCCTAGGCAGGCCCTCCCCCCTCCCCAGCCTGCACCTGCATCTGCACCTCCACCTGCACAGGCTGACCTTCATGCATGGAGCTGACACTGCTTCTTGCTGTATCTTGGTGTCTGCAGAAGCCCTGGCTTTGGCTGTTTGCAAGGAACAGGCAATCAGCCCACAGCTGTGGGGTCCCTGGCTCCTGGTCCTGTGCACCAAGAAATGTCACAGTGGTATGATGCAAACTGACCCCAACGAGCCCCTTCCGCCCCCCCAAGATGTCACTGGGGGCGACTGTTGTATCTGTGTCGGCTGGGTACGGTGTGGTTAGCTAGGAGGGGAAGGGAACAGTACAGCCCTGTGGGGTGAGTCTGGGCTGCTGCCTGTCTGAAGTGAATGCCTCACCCGCCCTCCCAGCCACAGGGGGGAGGGGAAGCGTTTTTGGTCTTTGCTTATTTTCAGCACAGTAAATTAGGTTCCAAGCTGGTGCTGTGTCCCAAAGGCCTCTTCCCATCACTGTGTGTGCTGATACTGTCCTGCTAAGGGGCATGACGGCCGGCTGTCCTGAACGTGTTTGGCAGCAGGGTTGTGCCAAGTGCTGGGGGAAACCGGGAGGCTTTCCAGTGGGTAGGACACAGGGCTGGAGTTCTCGCCATCAGTGCACCTCTGCGAAGTGCTGGGGGATCTCTGGAAGTCGAGTGCTGAAGATTGCTGGTGTGGGTCCTACCGGGAGTAACCATATCCTGCCTGCTCTGTGTCTTCCAGCTGCTGAGGCCGGTGTATCAGGAGCACGATGCCGCTGTGGGTAAGTGTCCATTCCTAACAGCCCACGGCTCGGCAGACTCGGGAGCTTAGCTGCCTAGGCAGTTGCTGTGGCGCCCCCCCTCAGCGGATGGGGCACTAGCCTGGGAGGGAAGCTGTGCTGGGTTCCCCTCGGCTGTGACCTTGTGCAGTCACTAAGCTGGACCAGCCCTGCCTAACAGAGCCAGCCTGAGGCCCAGGAGGGAAAGCCTCTGGCTTTGTGCTTTGCGAGGACCTAAGCCTGGAAACATCACTGCAAAGGCTTGAGGAGACAAGCTGCAGGGCTGCCCCCCTTTGGCAGCAGGCGCGGGACTCAGTGTTGCCCTCCCCCTGCTTAGGGTTTGTCCCACAGCTTCACTTCTCTGGCCTTCCCCAGCATCCTCAGGCTAGCCCTGTGCATATCACCTGCTGTCGGTGAGTGGGAATGGTGATGTTGGGTCGGGGCAAGCAGTGGTTTCTCAGACCCACCCGCAGACGTCCTCTCTGGGGCTGGGACTGACCTTTCTGCTGCTTCCCTTCTGCTGCTCACAGAGGCGGCGGCTGCCCTGCAGTGCCCCATCCTTGCCAGAGCAGCAGCTGCAAGGGACCTCCACTCCTCAGCAGCGCATCGCATATGGAGCAAGTGCCATGTCCTCTCCTCGTGGAGCCTGTCAGCTGTTCCAGCTGGGCATGGGGAGGAGCAGGTTGTGGGGTCGTGCTGCTGTTCCACTGAGTGGATGTCCCTGCCATGCCTGCCTGCCCACCCCTGCACCCCACCCCAGCCAGCTCCTCCCTAGAAACTCCCCACACAAGCCAGGCCCTCCCAGCAGTCAGAGGAGAACAGGCATCTCAGGAAACAAAGAGGATCCATTCTGCAGCCGACCATGAGCCAGCACCAGAAGGACGTTTTCCACGTCCAGCCAAGCACCACACAGCCAAAGGGCTGGAAACAACCCACTTGCCACCACAGCTTCTTAGTAGGGGAGACCCCCTAGAGGAGCTGCTGGAGGGGTGGGGGAAGCATGGCTGAGGTGTAAGGGCAGATGGATCTGGTGAGGGCCTTGTGAAAGGGTGGGTGAAGATTATGGGAGGAAGATGGTAGAATTACTGGGTTATTTTGTTGTGTGAAGGAGAGCGAATCACGCCAGGAGCGTCCTGCATTTAGCTGAACGAGGGGGAGCCTTCTTTGAGAGCTCTTGTTCAAATCTGGGAGCACATCACTGCACGTCTCCGTCCCCTACCAGTGTGCCTCAGTTTCCCCATCTCTAAAATGGGGCTAATGCTACGTGCCCTGCTTTGCAAAGTGCTCTAAGATCCTGGGATGAAAAGCGCTGAGGGGGGATATTCTGGCAGGTCCCTGAATATCTCCGTGGGCCTGTCTGCCATGCATTGCCTGGGTCTGCCCTCCTCAGGCTTGGGGAAAGGAGCTCTCTAGATGCTGGTGTTGCTCCTCACACAGGACATCCCCAGTGGGTTCATTTTCTTACCGAGCAATTGGAACTGGCGCTGGATCTGGTTCTGGCAGGTGTTAGTGCAGTCGAAGTTACATGACTGTCTGAGGCTGCTGCAGCCACTGTGCCAGCTTTCCCTGAAACCCCGTTGGCTCACTCATCCCTTCAGCTCTGTTGGGTCTCTGCTGTGGGGTGAGGAGCTAGAAGGATAACAGCAAGTCCTGCCCTTCAGAGCTGTGGGAACTGATGCCAGTCTGGCTCCAGAGAAACGTGTACTTCTGGTACCCCCCGCTGGGCGAGTGGCTTTCGTGTGCTCTGGTGGTGACATGCCCCATGACTCAACATATTGTCTGGGGAAAGGGCGTGTGGTTCCTCTGCACAGACTGCTCCAGAGCCGTGTGAACGGCAGCTCGTTTGCTTGTGGGAAATCCTCCAGTGCGGTGCTCCCCGCTGCCTCCCTGCGCAGTGTCAGCTCCGAACAGGGCAGCCGGCTGCAGAGGTGCGTGCCAATCGCTGGAAGGAAAGGGGGGCATTTGCTGCAGAGCGAGGGGTGGCTAAAGGGAAGGTGAATGGAGTGGAGGGCGATAGGGTTTTCTGTGACAATATGTGTGTTTGGTTTCTGGTGGATTAGATGAAGCAGGGCCCTAAGCTCTGAGCCTTTGGGCCATTAAGTGCTCTTCTGAGGTGTGGGATGTTTGTTTAAAATCAGCCTTTCTGAAGCAGCGTCAGGTGTGCAGAGTCCTGGGCCCGGCATCAGGACAGGATTGCTTGATGCAGGCCCACGTTAGTGCATCCAGTCTAGTTTTAAATGCAAAACCACTTGTAGACTAGGCTCAATGCATGGGCCAATGGGGCAGATGTACCTCCAAGGGTTTAGCTTGGGCTTGCTAGCGGTTTGTACTAAAGATATGGTTTTCTAGAGCCAGCGTTTGTGAGAAGCTGGAAAAGTCTTATCATCTTCTTAGCAATCAACCCTGTAGTCCCGGTGTGTTTGGCTGGTTGTAGCATGTTCTGCAGCCCTGAGTTCCTCTTTCTGCATGGGTGTCTGTAATACAGGAGGCCAACGACTTGCTTGCCAATGGACTCATGAGAAGTGTGTGCTTTCCCCCACGTTGCCTCTCTCCTCTTGGGTGTCTCTGTATCATAACAAAACAAATTCCAGATCCAGAGGATATTCATGCAAAATACACCTAGTATGGGAACAGTCTGGTGTGGAGAAAGGCCCTGGGCTGAGAAATGATCTCTCTGCCTGTCCTTTGTGCACGGGTGTGAGGCTTCTCCTTGTGTTTGGTTTATTTAATACCTCAGAAAGCCAAGCTACTGGGCGAGCTGTGCTGCTTGTGGCCTTGAAATGCCTGGGTTCTGTTGAGAGACCAGTCTTCTCATTATGGCAGCTCAATAAAATGTTCCCGAAGCAATGAAAAAAGCTAGCCAATACCAAGAGATGTAGGGTTTATTCTAAGGAATTCCAAATGCAGTCCTAGACCTCAAGCTGCTGCTGGGGTTGGGAGAAGAAGAGGGTGGATGGACAGTGGTTGCAAGGGGAATGTGTGCATCTCAGTGAAGGACTTTGGTTAGCGGGGCTCAGCCCTGCAGACCCAGCTTCTCCTTTCGCTGGGGCTGGGTGAGCAATGCCATACTAGCAGTTCTCTGTTGGCACTGGCCCCTTGCTTGAATCCCCCCGGTCCTGCAGCTCTGTAGTTGCTGTTTTACCCTCTCTGACCTAGCAGCATCAGCTACTCCTGCAGACAGCCACTGAACGCGGCCAGAGGGGTTAACTGCATGCGCGTGAGCTCCCTGCTGGACCTCAGAGTCTTGTACAGCAAGGACAGGCATGCCTCCAAGAGCCCCCTGGCCTGGGGGCGGCGGGAGGCCAGGAACCCGGCCTGTGCAGGGGGTCGGGCTCGTTTTGATGAGTGTTGGTGAGGACAGATGTTGCTGAGCTAAAGAGAGTTTCTCCTGAGCTTGCTGAGCTGAAATGACCAGTGTAAACACAGGGACTCAGGGAGAGCAGTCCCAAGCATGTGTGTTTCAGATTAAGCCCAGCACAGGTGAGAGAATTGCAGGTGCTCAGCTGGGTGCAGACTGGATGCTGGAAATCACCGTTTTCAGCCCGGAGAGCTGCCATTGCCAGGGAGCAGGAGGCTTCTCCCAATGATCTGCTTCAGGTGGGATCTGGATGGACGGTGGGGTTGTTGTCTGCTTGGCTCCAGGGTAGCTTGAGAGCTCTGCTCTGGGCGTGTCATGGGGCTGCGGTTCTAGGTGTGGGCTAGGACGAGAAGTTCTTTATGCTTCTCTAATTGAACGGTCCCCTCCTGGCATTGGGGCAACTGCCCGTGCAAGTTTTCCAGCTGTAAAATTTTGTACTAAGTGTAGTTTTTGGCCAGCCCCCTTAATGGATCCACTGAAACATTGCTGACTTCTCATTTTGTCTGTATGAAATTTTAGTTTGTACTGATCTCGCTAGTGCTTTTTATGTAGCCTGTTGTAAAACTAGGCAAATATCTAGATAAGTTGATGTACCCCCTGGAAGACCTCTGTGTACCCCCAGGGGTATGCATACCCCTGGTTGAGAACCACTGGCCTAACCCATCCAAGGCAGATGGCTGTCCGGCCTCCTTTTGAAAACCTCCAGTGAAGGAGCTTCCACAACCTTACTGGGCAGTCTGTTTCATTGTCCTACTGTTCTGACAGTAGGAAGTTTTTCCTGCGATTTAATCTATGGCTATGTCTACACTACAGATATTACAGCGGCACAGCTGTACCGCTGTAGCTTCACCGCTGTAAGGTCTCCCGTGTAGCCGCTCTATCCCAGCGGGAGAGAGCTTTCCCGTCAGCATAATTAAACCATCCCAATGAGCGGTGGTAGCTATGTTGGCAGGAGAGCGTCTCCCACTGGCATAGGGCTGTGCACACCGGCGCTTCTGTCGGTGAAACTTATGTCGGTCGCTGTGTGTGTGTTTTTTCACACCCCTAATTGACAAAAGTGCTAGTGTACTATCTGCTATGTTGTAGTTTGAACCTATTGCCTCTTGTCCAGCCCTTTGTGGCAAGAGGGAACAACTTTTCTCCATCTGTTTTATGGCAGCCTTTCAAGTATTTGAAGATTGCTATCATGTCCCTCCTTAATCTCCTCTTCTCCAAACTAAACATACCCAGCTCCTTCAGCCTTTGCTCGTATGGCTTGTGTTCCATCCCTTTGGTCATCTTTGTCGCTCGTCTCTGGATCCCCTCCAGTTGCTCCACATCCTTTCTATAATGTTGGTTAGACTAGTATTTAGTTTGGAAAAGGTCCTACTTACTCCATGGCCTTATGCAGGAGTGTTTTGGCTTTGTCAAGCCTGACCTTAAAAACCTCTAAGGAAGGAGATTCCACCACCTCCCTAGGTAACCTATTCCAGTACTTCACCACCCTCCTAGTGAAAAAGTTTTTCCTAATATCCAACCTAAACCTTCCCCACTGCAACTTGAGACCATTACTCCTTGTTCTGTCATCTGGTACTACTGAGAACAGTCTAGATCCATCCTTTTTGGAACCCCCTTTCAGGTAGTTGATAGCAGCTATCAAATCCCC